CTTCTCCGCTAGACGCGTATCGCTATTTCTTGATGATTTCGACAAACATTGGTGGCTGCTGCAGCCGCCCAGGATATTTCATCCACACAATGTGGTCGAATTGCCAACAGCAAGGGATAAGGTGTCAACAGAGTACTCGAATGCCGCCGGGAACCAAAATAGAGAGATCGTCGAGCATGTTCTGGCGCTGCCCGATGACGTGCGTGATCCTGAGTGGATTAAGAGTCGTGGTAGGTCAGTCGGTGCCCTAAATTGTCGTCTTGGAAGCACGGAGCACGATCTATCGCTCTTCTAACATGCAGAAGTCGCGCTAAATCCCCCAAGAGGCGTAAATGCAGCAATTGCAGTGAGTCCGGTCACAACTATCGAACTTGCCGTAAACTAATATCCCCAGACGAATCACGTGGAACCCATCAGTTGCAAGAAGGGGCAAATGGTAGTTAGCGAAGACATGGCGCCCTTCATCAAGTTTTTTACTCTAATTGGATTTTGTCGTCTAATTACGGAAGTGTTCAAGTCCAAGAACATCCTGGGGCTAACGCTGATTTACCTTAGATCCACACCGTGTATTCTCCAACGACTCGACATGATTTTTACTGTATTTTCAAAATAGTTGGCAATCACGAGGTTCAATCTGCCATTAATGATGCTAGCGATCGAAGTTCATGCAAGGAATGCGATTGTTGGTTACGAAGTTCCGTTTAATCTAATTTAAGGCTCGCCATGGGAGCTTATGAAGCAGACGTTTAATGTACTGAAGCACTTTACCAGCTACGTGTTTATGTCAGAGTGTCGAGTTGAAGTCAGCGATTTCAGAGACAATAAGCGGCATCAAACGAACTTTATTTTCTAGTGCGGGGTGTATGTTCTGGTGGCTACTTCAGGTCAACTAACTTAATTTCTAATGCTCAGCGATACAAAGCTGAAAAATGTGCAAAACAATTTTTCGGATGAAAGCGATCACACGTGGGACTATGGATATGTTGTGGGGGTTGCTATTACATTGAATCGCTTTGCAAGTCAGACCTTAATCATCGCTGAAACAATGCCGCTAATTTACTAAAGGTTTGCCAATGATGGACTGGTACAACGTGTATTGGTCAACATCGATCGCACGAGCGACCCAAACTTGAATGCGATTCAGGAAGCTGAACGTGTGAAGCAAAAGAAAAATAGTTTATTGCTGGATTATTTGCGCCCTGTTACTGTCATCTGTTAGAAAAATGTTGGCGTTGATGGTACCTACAAAATTATATTTTATCTGACATGAAGTGCAGCGAGCTCTGAACTTATTTATAGCTACCCCATCGACGAGACCAGCCATAAATCGGCATCCAGCGGGTCCATCTCTTCAACAATCATTTGGAAGCGCTCACTCTCCTGAGCTTCTGCTACTATCCGTCTCTTTCGCCCTTAAAGCGTTTCACCATATTCTTCGTCTTTTGCTAGCCACAATACCACCTGTTATCAAACCGCAACTTCTTCCGCTAGAAGATTGCTCGCTCTTCTTATTTTCGTTGTATTCTACTTCAGCGAAGCTTCACCGTGTCTCTTTAGTTGCAATATTGTTGTGCCCAGGATAAAAGTCGTTACTGCCTTTGTCCAACCTACAAAAGAAAATTGCAGGTCTCTGCGTAGTTACTTGACTCTTCTGCGTTGTTGAGTTGCAAGATTTAATCGAGATGCCGCTAAACTTGAACTTCTTTAGTGTAACACCTCCACTCGTCACCGGCGTAGCAGTCATAGTATCTGCAACGTCCCTCTTCTCCACAGAGCTAGCGCTAGAGCGAACGCGCTAGCCATCACCAACAGCAGCTTGGCTATCAGCGAGCATCCCGGAAGCTGCCGCAACAGCAGTACCTTGATCGATAGGCTTCACCCTCACCACACAAGCCCGGTCATTATTTGGAATCTCGCCCTTTTCGTCTTTTGACTCGAATCTTTTTGATCTGGAGCAGGACGCGCTGTTGGATGAAGGGTCAGTCGACAATGCGTGGGATAGAGAGCAGCCGCGATGTGCATGCCGATGGGAGGAGGTTAAGCCACGACCATCATCAAATTACGCGTTGGTCTAGTTAGTCAATTATACACGTATTACGACTACACACATACCTCGTGAAAGACCTCTGCAGCTGGCTTTAAGTCAATTTCGAATGTAGCATTAATGAACGCCTTTGTTAATGTGTCCATCCAGGACTATCGCAGCATCTGACATGTAAATTACTACACGTCGCCGTCTTAAAGACATGCATCAATTGTTTAGATTTAGTATTCTATCATTTGTAAATGAAATAGTAAATTAATGCTTAAACCGGTGATTAATTCAATTCTACCAATCGGAACGCGTCCATTGAGTAAATTACTGTAATATATAGGGGGTATGGGGTGGTCAACGAAAACCTGAGGGGTGGATAACGTTTTTTGAAGAAAATTTATCCGATATAATCTTGTCCAATAACAGATAGTTGTTTCAGTGTTTACATTACGAAAGAAAAAGGGCGTATATCTTACCAAAAAGGAAGTAAATCTAAAACTTCTTATTCTTATCACACGCACCTAAAGCTCGTGTGATGATTACATGTCTAAAAGTAGACATCGGTTGTTGCTGAATGTTGATCAATAGTGCTGAAAAGTAATCTTGTTCTATCCGAGATACGTGATAAACTGGTCATCCAATTGGAAGAAAATTTCGAGTTCATATGAACGTTTACGTCTGTAAAATCAACTATAGTCGCGGGCGAAGGTAAATTTATACCGCGATTGTAAATAGATGCTGCCAATCTACATACTATTCTCTGATGTAGATGCATGATAAACATGCTATCAGGTGCCCGTGAAAGATTTCTGGTTGTGTGGCCGCTGATTTTCTCCAAATTGTACTTGGTAACGGCCATGTTTTTGTTCGCAGTTTTGTTGGCTTAAGTAAAAAAGATCGGTTAAATACCTCATCTTTGTTGATTTAATGATGCTAAAGTATCAGGAGTCGATGGTATTTCTTATACTCGGCAAGGAAACCTTGCAGATTCTACACACATATCTTCTGCACAGGCGTACGAGGCTTTTCTTTATTCGTGAATCCAACCGAAGCAGCAAGGCTCAATTCGTACTTATTCATTCACCGAAATGCTATTCAGGAGACTGTGTGCACTCGATTTGTATGCACTCGATTTGTTGCAACGCTCGATAACGAAAAGCTTGTGATGACGGCAAGTCAAGTTGTTCAACAGATTCGGCTATAATGGATATACCGAACGCAATTATCACGTCCGCGAAGATAGTTAAGGTCATAAGTTGGTATTTTATGTGCTGCATAACTGTTTAATGCGCGATTTCCACTTATCACATCCATGTTAAACTTTTAAGTGATGTTGTAATAATCACTTGCTCTGGCAAAATGTTCGTGCTCTGATTAATGAAAGACGTTTTGGGCAAGGAATTCAATAAAGTCATACGTGCAGTGCATCGCTTGTAGCAGAGCTGCACATCTCCTTATGTGAGAGGAAGACTTAGTGCTCAAAGAGCAATATTAGTTTTAAAGAACCATAATCTATTAGTTAAGAAGCGTGAAGCTCAAGGTCCCTGTTTCAGGGGACCGAGCATTTCAGTGAATTTACAGCTTTTAGGGCTCAAGAGTCTCTACTTCATGGGGACATTGCTTACTCTTGACGATCAACGATCAGAGAAGCCTCGTAAGGCAAGTGTCTTAGACAAGATCAAAAGGGAACTTCACTTTATTCAGGTTCGTGGATTTCATCTGAACGTCAACCTGTTCTTTTCTAAACGAGGTCAGTGCGCTTGCGGTTAACATCACGGTAACGTAAAGCTTTAGCACCAGTCCTCATCATCTAACGAGTCATATACTCGTTATGCACATTTCAAGACGTAGGAGGCAGTGGACTGCGATACCGAAACCAGTATCTCGGGTAATGCAAGGATAATGCCTGATACACCCATGCCTCAAGTACAAACTCCTACTGCGTTAAGTCCATTTTTTAAACGTGCTGATGCAAATGCGCTATTAACGACGCCTTAAATACCAGGTTTGGATGATGCAATTATTACCAAACTGGTCGACGAGTAGCAAGAGGTAACTGCTCAACGACACAAAAGCGCATTGCACCATGCACAAATAATAACAACCCTTGTGAACCAGCGAAACTATATATTCACTCTACTCAGTGTGGAGAAATGTCTACATCAAACGACTGGCCAAACGTTGGCATCCAGAAATAAAGGTCCTACATCTATTACACCCGAGAAAAGGGCAAATGGCCAGACACTTTTGCAGCACTTACCTAAAGCCTTATCTGGCAATTAATACGGGGATAGATACCGTTACGTAGCCTACACTAAAGGACTTATGTGGAATCGTAAGAAGCACACGTGTCAGCGTGTGCTGAATATAGATTAATTGTAACTCTGATTTTGTACATTTCTATTTTTATCCTATCATAATAAGTACGAGTGGTCTCTAAGCCAACGAGAGCCACTCAACTAAAAGCCGCATCCTATCGGCTAAAAGTGGGTCTATACCCACTTACTAGTAGAATAGGACTAAGACGCACTGTGCACACTATCTTTGGCTACATTGTATATCTGCTTTTGTGTATGAATTCCTATTAAATATACCTAATTGTGTACGAGTTATATAAGACTTTAACACGTAGTGTAACGGTGACACCCCGTTACACCCCCCCCACTCAAGATAGAAGTGAATGTGCAAAAGAAAAGAACAAAACAAACGAGAACGAACACTCTCACCAGCATCGCGCACATTGCGGTGAAGATAATTACAACTTAACAGCGTCTCTACATCTTGTATTCAAGTGCCAAAAACGCAAGCACGCTTCGCCTCGACGAACACGCAGGCGACAATTGTGAGCACTTGAACACTCCAGAGAATTCGACTAGCGATGCACCAGATCCTCCGAGCACGCAGTGGCTTGAATCTCTTTCGTCGATTCACTGCGTGCTGGAAGGATCGAGGGCTGTAGTGGAATCTAAAGTACATGCAGTGTCGACGAGATGCGCAACTTGTGGCGGCGACGGAGAGCAACTCGGGGAAAGCCCGTCACGGTCACACTCTCCGTGACCCAAGCGTTGCTGGACGCATCTTGAAAAGCGTTCGTGACACGCTGGAACATGGAGATGTCTCTCCCATAACTAGAGGAGCGACAAAAAGTCGATAGGAGCCATCGTGGAGTCACTGATCTGCGCGAGCGGGTCTGCTAGTTGTCTTGGAAAGTAGACAGAGATTGTACATTTGTCCATTATCGTGAGGGTTGTCGAAGGAGATAGCCAAATGGAGTGGCAGAGCTTAAGCATGCTGCATTAAGTAATTTTTACCCAGATACCCGCTATCGGAAGAGTAGCGCCCTTAGATCGGGCGCCGTGAACGAGAGCTAGATAAACCCTAAAAGCGCGAGCAGACATGCGCGCGCTTGGCTTCGCGACGTTTGGTGAGATCGATTTACTGTACTCATTCTCGTTCAGTGAGTACCCTTGTATCGCGTACTGTCTAGCGTCTGCGATGTCGGTCTCCGCGACCTCGATCACCGCGTCCTCATAGGCCTTCACTACATCCGGAAAGCATTCTAGTAGCGTCTTGCGTGGCTTCCACAAATAATAATATTCAGCTGGGAGCTTAGTTAGCGAAAGCAATACAGTCGTGACTCTGGATGATCGCGAGGAGCGTCACGGCGATAACCGCCGTGACAGTCAGTCGTTGACAAGTCGCAGGGGTCACATATTCAATTTACGATCCCACGCAGATTCCCAGCGCCATTAACCAGCGGAGGAGTATTATCACGCGGTATCGGCACACGTGACGGCAGCGCCTGTGAAGCGGGCAATAGTCTTCATTAAAGAGGGCTTAAAGCAGCTCCGAAATTTTTTTCATCGTGTTGACTTCTTTGACAAAGAAGCTATTGAAGCTTGTGACCTGGCGGCGGAGGCAACAAGTCCTTCACAGGAAACCGAGATAATTGTAGCCGGGTTTGCTCGTCGACTCGAGAAGTAAGACGAGGCGCTTCGGCGAGATAACGCAACCTTGAAAGGTTAGTGTCCGCTTGATCTGCCGAGGCTTCCACAAAATAGGGCCTTGCTAGGTGCCCCCGATGCATCCGTCTGCGTCGGGAGAAGCGACGGGTGATACCGTTTGAGACTTCTGACATAATATATCGGCTGCAACGCATTGCCGTAGGAATTGTCGAGTGTATAGTTATCACTTAAATCCTTAACCACCCAAAATGGTACTTTAAATAATGATGCAATTTTGTTTCGAACAATATTGGTTATAGAATTGTCTTGAATGCCTGTTGTCGATAGCAGTACCCCGTCGCCACTAGCAAACTTCTCGTGATTAATGCAACCGCGCTTGTCAGCGGTAGCTTTCTGATCATCAACAGCGTTGGCAATAGCGTCACGCACAAATGCAGACAAACGGGCGTTGTTAAACAATTGTTTTATGGCCGCCGAGTCAGCAAGAAGATCGATCGACGGCGACGCGTCTGATAACGGTTCAGCGCGAACGATGCTCTCGACGAGATTCTAAATGACCCGACCGGCGCTTGGGATTGTTAACGGACTCGGTAACCCACCGAGTCGTGTAGCCGACTTCCAGGGGTTCTCTGTTATGAACACAGTCCTAGGGTCACCATGGTCACATGGTGACGTGGTCGCTACTGTATCGCCAGTAAAGTCCAGCCCGTCTGTTTTATCGCCACGGTCACAAGGTGGCGACTTCAGCGTTGGTGCACTGTCAGTCAATGACAGCTCGTCTGGTGTCCCACCACCAATAGTAGAGATATCATTTGGACCGAGAAGTAAAGTAAAACGTGGGTGACGGGTGTTGATGAAGAAGAAGGGTGTCAACACGGTCGACGCATGAGCCGCGTTATTCATAGCGAACTCTGTCATGGGGAGAAACGCACTCCATGACGAGGAGTAACCGCGTAGAAAAGTCCTAAATCACGCGATTTGCGCGCCCTGTCTGCCTATGTCCTTTTTTGTCTTTGTTTGAGCAGCCGTAGACATCAGAAGACGCGTCCCCAGAAGGGTAAACAGCTGCGAATAGAACGCAGCTGTAAAACGAAAATCTCGATTCGAGACAATCGTTGAGGGCAGACCATGATACCTGAAGACGATGAAGATGAACAATTTCGCTGTGTCGTTTGTAGTAATAGACGCAGAGATTGGAGAAAAATACACCATCTTTCTGAAGCGGTCTATGACCACTAAAATGCCGGCGCATCCTTGCGAATCAGTGGGAAGACTAACGTAATAATACGTGCTGACCGGGTCATATGCCTTGGTCGCTACTGGTAGAGAGCACAGTGAGATTTGGAAAGATGGACTCTGTTCGACGCGTTGACATACCTCGCATGAGCGTACCCGTTTGCGGACCCGCTTAAGCATGTGGAGCCAGTTATCCGTGCGAGATAAAGACAGATAGATCTTCTAGCGACTCAAGTGACCACTAGTCGCAATATCATGGTGCTCGTGGAGAACATGGATACGAAGATCTTCTTCGATCGGGACGACGATGCAAGGAGGGTCAAACTGATCGATCTGGTACATGATTGAGTCGCCGTTGAGTGGGTAGCGCGACAAATGGGCTGGAGCCGACGCTGTAAGATCACGCAATGTCACATCAGATGAATCACTACCATACCGTACTATCGATTCGTAGAAGACACTGTGGGTATAAGCTGCCGCGATAACGACTCGAAGGGGGTTTACCACAGTTACTCGCGTCTCATTCACACCGAGTGCGACACAAGTAACACATTCGTCGTCATTCTCATCGTTCAAGGCAAGGACCGTGATATACGAACGCGGATAATGGTCAGGCCAACGCGATAAAAGTGTCAGTGAGGATGTTGCTGGAACCGGGCTTGTAGTGAACAACGAAGTTTTGCTCGGCGACAAAATTGACAACCAGCGCCCCATAAGATGGCTGAGATGGGGGCTCTTTGTCTCTGTGCGGAAATAGGCATGTTCTGTGAAGTGTTCGAACGTCGGCTTTCCAAGCAGACAGACGCAAAACTTGACGCGTGTATATATCATAGCCAATAACTCCTTTTCATGAACAGGATAGTTACGTTCAGCTGACTTCAAATGGCGCGACTGATAACTGATCACTCGTTCAGTGCCTTCTACGTCATGTTGCATGAGAGCACATACAATAGAAGCTTCACTCGCATCACAGACCACGTGAAATTGTTTTTAGTGATATGGTGGAGAGAACACTGGCGCTGTGTAAAGTCTTCTATTAATCTCGTCGAAAGCATCTTGGTTGTCCTGAAGCCAGTGCCATATGTTATCCTTATTCAAGAACTGAAACAATAGGTAAATCCCCATCAGCAAAGTCCTTGACTTAATGATGGAATTAGTTGTCCAGATATAACCATTGTAGAATATGTTTCTGCTCTTGTGGAACTGGCAATGAACAGATTGGAAAGATCTTTTCCGGTTTAGCACAAATCCATTTTGTGCTGACGTATCTACCAAGCTCATGCATTTCTGGTGCACGAAAGATGCATTATTTCAGGTTGCTGTAAAGCTTGTTCTCACGCATCGCTGCAAAGAATTGACGAAGTTTCCTGGGGTAGACCGTGAGCTCGGTCGCGCCGGCAGCGGTGCGACTATGTATGAACATATTGTCGAAGAAGATTGGGTAAAGGTCGCGAAATGGGTGGAGCGCATGCGACACCATCCAAATTAAGGTAGCAGGGGCGTTCTTGAGCCCCTTCGGCATCACCGGCCATTCTCGAAGCATGCCGCTAGGCGTGATCACAGCGGTAGGAGGAAAATCTTGAGGAAGCATCAAGATCTGATAAAATCCTGTCGTGAGGTCCAGCGAGGAAAAAATTGTACTTCCAGGGATGGTGCCAAGTGCCATGTCTTTGCGAAGGATCGGATTCTGGGCTGGTATCGTCGAGTTGTCAAGCGTTTTGTAGACGTGGACGATCCTCCATCCGCCTGTCGCTTTCTTGACGTAGAATTTAGGGTTGGAATGAGGTGAAGAGATTGTACGCACATGGACCGCTTACTGGCGCCCTTCAAAGAAGGTGTCAATTGCTTCAACTTAGTCCCGTAGAAGTGGCCATTGTCGTGTGATACAATACTTAGATCCGGAAAAGAGATCAATACCGTGCCCTACGCCGCGACCTGCCGGTAGAAGCGCTGGGATTTTTGCAGAAAAGACATCAGCAAACTCGCCCGTTAGCGCGAGAGCCCGATTTTCTTAGCGGGAAGCTCTTCAAGTCTCCCAAGATTGCGCCGCGAAGCGCTCTTCCCGTTTCGACTTAGGGTCCGTTCCTTCGGGCGCTCGCATTTGTCACACGCTGGATCTCAGACGACCAGATATATTTCGTTCGACATCCCCCTTTTTCAAGCCACGGCGCAAGTCATCCCAACACATTTCGGGGAGCTGCATGTAAGTAGACACGGTGAAGGGGGGATTGGCAACCGGGACAGGGTGGCTAGTGGAGCCAACGCCTGTTGAACTAACATCGTGAATAGTCTCGATCGAACAGGTAAACTAAAGATCAGCAACCCGGGGAGTACATCGAATCCGAGTCCGTCGACGTCGACTGCGGAGCGACACTGAAGCTCGGTCCGAGCAGTTGACTATGGTCGCGGCAGCCTTTGCAGTCGCAACGGTATCCGGAAGCGTCTGATCCGGCACAATGTCCTCATCTTGGACAGAAACGGGGGCCTCTTCTCTCTCGCGACACACCGGAAGCATCTGATCAGGTGTGGTTAGTAGTTCAGGCACACGCGAGGAAGACCTCTGCCTCGTTGATGTGTTCTTGTGCACGAGTGCCGCTGCTTGCGCAAGACGCACCGAAAGCCGCTGCTTCGGTGCGGTTTTGTAAGGTATAGACGCTTGTAAGCCACTGCTCGTGCGTGGTGCGCTGAAAGACTTTGCTTCTGTGCACTGTTAGGCTGTCTGACGAGCACGGGATCTTTTGTTGAATGAGGAAAGACGAAGACTACTGTCTTGGCACATATTCTTGACTTAGGAACCACTGTTCGACGTAGAAAGAGAATGTTGCGGTGTTGTACATCGCAAGCGAAGGGCCATCGCATGCTCAGGTAATGATGTCGTGGAGCTTGGATCCACGACAGCAACATAATGCAAGGCGCTCACGGTTCAGTAAGCACCGCGTGCACCGCGTTGACATCGATGTCACGGGGCTTAACAGTGCGGATAATAATATTGACGTCCGGACGATGCCGTGCAAGGCACGGAATCCCAAAGATGCATTCGAACGACCCCGCGAAGGTCCATGAATTGAAATTCATCACAGCTTGCAGAGCCTTTTAACTGGTAGGGGACGCTAACCGACCGCTGTCAGTGCTTCCTCGTCCAACCACCGGCATACTTGACGATCACCGTTCTCAAAGACTTGCGAACACGCATACCCGAGGGGAAAATCTTAGTTATCTCGGCGTGTAAGAAATTTTTTGTCGCGCCCGAGTTCAGCAGCGCTCGAACCGGGCGCTTCGCACCGTCGACGTCTACGCTGGCCACGATCTTTCGATACTAAAAGCGGTGGTGCAAAGCTGCGCGTGGAACGCAGAGGGGCTAGAGATTGTTGCCACCTGGGTCAAGTATTTCCGTATTCGCCCAGTAGAAAGCCCTGCGCCTACTGGCTGCTCAAGTTTTTTACTGTGCGGCCGAGTCACCAGGGATGACGGACTCGGCGACAGTGAGCACAGGTGGAGGCGCGCGGCAAACCGCCACGCAGTGACCAGTAATACGACAGCAAAAACAAACCAGCTGACGCGTCGCCATAGATTTTAAATCCCGTGGCCCACAACACGCCGCGAGTGAGAGACGCGTACAATCGCGTCAATCCTCATCGGATCATGCTCTTGGGCAGCGCGACGGTACGACGAATGTTCCATGTGCGAGGCCATGACACTGAAGTTATTACGCAAAGCAATAGTGAACGCTTCGTCAAGCGACGACAGATAATTCCGCGTCGATTAAAAATGCTGGTGACCAACGTTCATACCCGTGACAAACGTGTGGATTGGGTCCTCGTATCAAAAAGATCTGTGACAACACGCGACTCCATGTGTCGAGTTTAATGGACTAGTCCAGCATTGATTGATGTTTTTGTTTGTAGCGCGAGAAAGGCCGATCGGTCATGGTGCTTGCTCTGTGCATGTCAGAACGCTCTATGTTAGTCTTCATTCAATGCCTTGAGGTCCGGGAAACACCCCGTATCAGCGACAAGCGTTCCCGAAAACGCACTCTTTCGCCTTCCTCGTAAACTTGGAGAGGACTAACTGAGTGCGCGAGAGCTCAGACGTGATTTGGCGAGCTTGTATTGCGATATACATCTAGCAGAGCCAGCAATTAAGGGCGAGCGCTTTGGCCCCTCGACGCTGTAGCTAGCGATGTCAAGCTTGACAACCTCTGACGTCATGGTGATCGAGTAATTTGATGCCCGCCGTCGCAAATCGGCGAGCTCATGGTCGAAGAAGCCCTGAATAGAGAACTGCTGAAGGTATTCAGGCGTGTCCTTGAGCACTGCCGCAACAGAACTGATGCGTGTTACGACTTCTAGGCGGCGCAGTGCTTCCCCGTCAAAATCGGTGGAGTGTTGGTCATCATCATGATCCAACACCCAACCTGCAACGCCCTGTATCGATTCTCTCATCTTCGTCGTTGGACGGACTACAAAGTGCTATCAGGTGTAACGGGGTTAGATACCGTTACGTATCCTACACCAAAGGACTTGCGTGGAATCTTAAGAAGCACACGTGTCAGCGTGTGCTGAATATAGATTAATTGTAACTCTGATTTTGTACATTTCTATTTTTATCCTATCATAATAAGTACGAGTGGTCTCTAAGCCAACGAGATCCACTCAACTAAAAGCCGCATCCTATCGGCTAATAGTGGGTCTATACCCACTTACTAGTAGAATAGGACTAAGACGCACTGTGCCCACTATCTTTGGCTACCTTGTATATATGCCTATGTGTGTAAACACCTATTGGATGTGCCTGAATGCATACGAATTAGAAAAGACTCGAACAAGAAGCGTAACGGTGACACCCTGTCAGAACAACGCAAAGTTATTACAAGCCACAACTCATAATGAAAGCACGTAGTAAACCGGTTTTACCGACCAACGCTCTACCCATCATCTTGTTTGCAGGCGTGATAGTGGGCGAAGATGAAGACGCCTTTGATTGCTGAGGGCAATGCAATTGCCGCCCCTGCCGTATGTACGCTCTGGGTTTAAAAGCAAATGTGGAAGATGTGCGTTTCAAACGCAAGTTCGGTTATCTTGTGCCAAGCTTAAGGCCAAAGATCAATTGGGAAATCGCACGCGCTATACCCGGCTACCACTTAGCCGCGAGTGATGGTCAGACTGTGACCACCAAATCACCAAACCACATCACTTATGATGGGAAACGGCTTTAGTCTTGATATCCACGGAGCCACCATGCTCGAAAATGTTTACGGCGTAGAGTAATTTTGCCGAAGGAGAATCTCATACTCCCAAGAGTTCTTGAAATAAAGATCCTCGCTACTTTCCAAGATACTGGTATCGGCACTGAAGACGGAGTGTCTTAGTAGTCTCTCGACATGAAAGTGACGAGTCCCATACTTAAGCAGCTTCGGGGGTAGCCGGTCTACCGGTAGCGGACCACAAGAAATCGGTTATCGAAGTAAAGGGTCTTCAAGAGATTTAAGACAGGACCCGGATAATTTTATATGCGATGTTTATCCGCCTTTAGCCGATGAAGCGTGCTAAAACTCAGAGGAATAATCGTTTGGGCTTGCCGAATCTCTTACAACAATCCGGGGCATATGTCTCGTTGTCGGTGCAGGCACCTCCAAGTTTGCACGCGACAAACCCGATGCGGCTAGAGTAAGCCTACGTGGAATACTGAGTGCGTGTGCTATTTACGCAGAAGGTTTAGCGCATACTTAAGTCTCTTCTTGGCGGTTGCCGTAAATAGTCAAATTAAGCGTGGACGCAACTTTTTCTTAAATACAGAGGACACTACACTTGAAGGTAGATTTTAATCAATAAGAAATGCTTAATATTCAGACTTACAACAGTTAATGCAGCCTCTGCTTTTATCAAATGCTTGTTGTTTTTGTTGGTCTTTGCTTTCAGCCCTTGCGTCACGCAAATGTATTAAGACATTCGGTCGCGTTGCGATAGACCCGCCTACCTGTTTTCGAACAGTAGCAGGGCTGATATCTGCAAGCCTATCGGCAACTGTTCCCTCACCATTCCCTATACAACATAGTGGTAGCGTTAACAGAACACGGGGGTGGGTGATACCGATACGTAGAGCGCTGTAATGTCTTTGGATGCGTGAGCAGTGTTACCTAACGCGACTTCAACAACAGGGAGCATGGACCTCCACCGCTTAGGCTTATCAGCGCTAAAACCACACAAAAGGTCATTAATGATGCGATGAACACGCTCAGGTTTACCACCTGTAAGCGGATAATCCGCTATGGACATGTCCAATCGGTGCCGAGCACCGCTACAAAGGACTTCTAAAACTGCGTAGTAAAGTAGGGATCTCTATCAGAGACAATTGCCACTTCCAAACACGGTCTACAGACGGCTTCGCATAACCCTTGGCATTAAAAGAGTCCAGCACCGCCGCTAAATGATCCATCCTGCTCAATAGTCAGCAAAGACCGCATGTCAGTGTTGCCTTTCTAATCTTTCGGTAGGCAAAACAAAGTCCATACCCATGGACTTACGGCATCTAGTGGGTACAGTCAGAATATCCAGCGGCGTTGATGCATGTGCTCAATTTTTTATTCCGTTGACACGTTTCACACGTACGCACATAGGTGCTCACCCAATTGTATAGTTTTGGCCACCAACAAGCCTGGCGCAATGAGCTTTTGGTCTTCTCGCAACTGATATGACCGCTTAAAGCGGTATCATGTGTTTCATAATGAGAACGATAGTAACATTCCTTATAATGAGAGACAGAAATTCGAGATTATCTCAAACATCTGTATGATAGCACAAAAGGTCACTATCAATCTAATTTTGATGTAGACTCGCACAAAACGTGCCGACATATTCAAAACCAAGTCTTTATAGTACTCGCTCTCAAGAGCCTGTAGCACTACTAAAAAATCATCCTGGGCGTAAGCCGCACGGACTAAATTAGTGACTGACGATGACAGCGTAGTGGCTTGAGCAAGCTCATAGTCAGGTCGGCGCGATAGCGCATCAGTTGAAACTATTTTCTTTCTGGCCTATACTTCACTTTGAAGTTAAATCGGCAGAAAATGAGAGGTAATGAGCCATCCTTGGAGAAAGATGCGGCGACTGTATCGCAGTGCGCAATGACGCATGATCTGTATAGATCAAAGAGGGCTTTGAGCCAAGCAGATTTACTCCAAATTTGACTAGAGCGTACTTCACAGCAAATGGCTCTTTGTCATGAATTGGATATTTCTTATCAGCAAATTTAAGTTGTCGGGATTCGACTGCAATGACGCGTTCGCGTCTATCGACATCTATATTTTACAAAACCTGCTTATGGCGAAGTCAAATGCTTCACAGACGACACTGAAAGGCCGATTAGATTTGGGCTAAGCCAGTTTTGGCGCATGAAGGAGACCTTTTTAACTGCTTAAAAGCATACTTCTTGGTGTTTTTGCAACACCAATCCACATCCCTTTAAATATCTTTAAATTATCGAGCTTTATCTGCGTAATTCGCACTATACTTTTGCAAGTAATTGGCATGGCATATCCACTTACTTAGATCGTTTTAGTTCTTTGAAACAAGTCAATAAACGTTCAAATCACCATAGTGGGGTCCGCTCGAAGATGTTGCGATTAAATGGAGCACCCCAAATAGAAAATCTTTACTGCATAAAAAGATACACATAAAGGCCTTTGCACATAATTTGTTCGTGCGCATGCACTCGAGGACCGCTCGAAAATGATTGATGTGCTTATCCACATCAGATCTACCGCTCGTTGCACGACTATGGACAAAGATGTCATCAAAGTATGTTTGCATAGCCTTGATGAGGTCTGAATAGCTGCGTCATTCGAAGATAGATAATGGCCGAGGCATTTAAAAGCCCTTGTGGCATAACGAGCCACTTTCAAAGCATACTTCTCGGGTTAATAGCCGCTCTTATCGGGATATTGCTTGCTCGCATGAGCACCTGGCATAAATCATCGACAAACTCGAGCGCACTGTAAAACGTACATATTTCCATTTAGTTCTAAAGCAACATCCTTTATGGGGATTGGTGTCTTCGCCGGGATTGTTGCAGTTGTAAGATTATTTTAAAGATGAAAAATGCAATACTTACCATTTGGCTCTCTGACACAAGCAGTCGGTTTAGAATGGAGAGATTTACTTTATCAAACCATTCCTGCCGCGTGCTTTGCACAAAAAAATGTTAGTGACGTCACACTGATCCTTAGGTTTATACCATTACCGTGTCACATAGTACTAAGATTCTGGAATTAGCTCAGTTATGTGATTTACACATCTTTCGGGAGGTAAGGCAGAAGGTGGTTTGTGACAGATACATCATGACATTAATTTGTCAAAGAATAGAATGGATCCAAAGGATCTTTAAAGATCGAAGATTTACTCCGGGCACTGATTGCCACCTTGGTGTCCTCTTGGACCGACTCCCCCATTAGAAAGGACGATTTTAATTTGACATCGGGTCTAGTGAACACTAATTTTAGATAAATATCCTGCCTTATAGGCCTGGATAAAGTCGCCATCCGACCTTTTTCTAGCTCAAAAAGAGCATCCAAAGAAAAAACGTTTTCCAGGCTAAACTTGCCCTCGACTGGCTAGTCACTCCGTTGACAATTGTATATAGTGTATCACTGTTGTCACTATATGACTGCTCGGACGCCCGGCTCTTAAACGTTGCCCACTGGCGTCCAAAACGTATCTTCGACGATACATTACACCCCTTTGGAGTTGGGACAACAGTATCTTCGTGTTTACTATTACTAGTGCTAGTACTAGTAATAGTAGTACGCTCTATACGAAAACTGATGTCTTGATCGATATCCAGTGAAGCGTTATGTAACTCGAGCTCTTTACCTAGCACTTCACCAAGTGGATCTAAATGTGCCACTCCACCTACATTATACGGTTCTAGCACTGAGCTTATTGCCGTTTCTTCAACAATGTCATTACCGACATAAATGTGTGGCCTTCATGTCCAACCGCATCCGGTGCATTTTTACGTGCCATTACCAACGAACCAAAGGAATAGCTTCCTAGATAACCCACCTTAACGCCAGCTACGATTTAAGAATCCAGTGACTCGTTATTACAACGAATATCACTTGACGAAGTTCGTGTCGTATCACTAATACTCAACGAGCAACGCTCAAAATTATTGTCTTCAACATTGTAGTTAGTAAAATTAGACATTTCATTGGCCCGCACGTTAAAATCATCAGTCAAACGCTCGAAACTAATAGTGCTTTTGTTTCCTGGAGAGGTAGCATCACGGTTCTCCGGAACTTTTGTAGAAAGATTGCGTGTAGTGTAACGAGTTGTCACCGTTACGCTTCTTGTTAGGGTCTTTTCTAATTCGTATACATTCAGGCACATCCAATAGGTTTCCATGTACATAATTAGGTATACAAGGTAGCCAAAGATAGTGGGCA